TGTCACTGGCTTATTTTACTTAACATAATGTCCTCAAGGGTCATGTATGTTATAGCAGAATTCTTTCCTTTTTAAGGCTGACTATATTCCATTGTATGAAAATACAACATTTTGTTTTTCTGTTCATCTGTTGATGAATACTCAGGTTGCTTCTAACCCTCAACTACTGTGAATAATGCTGCTGTGAACATGGATGTACAAATATCTCTTTGAGTCTTTGATTTCAGTTCTTTTGGGTATATAGCCAGAAGTAGAATTGCTGGACCAGATTGTATAAGCCTTTTAGTATGCTGCTGGATTAGCTTTACTAATACAGTTGACCTTTGAAGAACATGTGTTTGAACTGGGCAGGTCTACTTACATGTGGATTTTTTTTTCAATAAATACAGACTACAGCACTATACAATCCACAGTTGGTTGAATTCATGGACGCAGAATCATGCATACCAGAACCATGGATACAGAGAACTGACTGTAAAGTTATATATGGGGAGCTCAAGGCCAAGTGCAGACAGAGAGATGCAGGACCTGGGACACATGTCTTTATTTAGAGTCTGTGGATAGAGTGCTTTGGGGTTCCTGGGCTAGGGCTGGATTGGTCAGTTCAAGCCAAAAGAGCAGGGTTTTGGTAAGTTCCATGGAGATTTTTATCTATGGGGTGTGTAAAGTATTACACGTGCTGGGAAGCAGGGGAGACTGTTGATCATAAGTCATTGCAGAAGCTACATTTGCTTGTGACTCTGCATCCTGCTATCTAGGGTATGCACTCCATGGGGATTTTTATCTAAGGGGCGCATGGGGGTTTTTATCTAAGGGGCGTATGAAGCATGCAGGTGCTGGGAAGCAGGGGAGACTGTTGATCACAATCATAACAGAGCTACATTTGCTTGTGACTCTGCATCCTGCTATCTAGGGCATGCACTCCATGGGGATTCTTATCTAAGGGGTGTATAAAGCATACAGGTGATGGGAAGTAGGGGATACTGTTGATCACAAGTCATAACAGAAGCTACATTTGCTTATGACTCTGCATCCTGCTATCTAGGGCATGCACTTCCCTGAAAGGGGGTCTAGTGTTAGTTTAAGGTCCCTGCAGGCTGCTTGGCCAAACAAAATGGAGGCCAGGGCAGCAGTACCATGGAGTAGCTTAGCTAAACTCTTTTACAACTTGTAGATCTGTTCAGACTTTCTGTTTCTTCTTGAGTCATTTTTTGGAGTTTCTGCGTTCCTAGGAATTTCCATTTTATCAAGGTTATATGATTTGTTTGCATACAGTTGTTCATAGTATTCTTCTATAATACTTCTTATTTCTATAAGATTGGTGATAATGTTCTCACTTTCATTCCTGATTTTAGTGATTTGAGTATTCTCTTTTTTTGTCTTGTTCACTCTAGCTTAATGTTTTTCAATTTTATTGCTCTTTTCAAAGGACTAACTTGTTTTTTTTTATTTTTCTGTATTGTTCTATATTCTCTATTTCATGGATCTCTGCCCTAATCTTTATTATTTACTTCCTTCTTGCTTTGGGTTTAGTTCTTCATTTTCTATTTCCTTAAGGTGGAAGATTAGATTAATTGATTTGAACTCTTTCTTTTTTTAAATGTAAATGTTTACAGCTGTACTTTTCCCTCTGAGCACTTTTTCACTGTATTCCATATGTTTTGATATGTTGTATTTTCATTTTTATTCTACTCAGAGTATTTAATAATTTACCTTATGATTTGTTCTTTGACCCACTGGTTGTTTAAGAGTATGTTATTTACTTTGTAGTTTGTGAATTTTCCAAGTTTCCTTCTGTTATTGATTTGTAGTTTCATTCCATTGTGATCAGAAAAGATACTTTGTATGATTTCAGTTTTTAGAAATGTATTGAGATTTGTTTTGTGGCTGAACATATGGCCTATCCTGGAGAATGTTCCATGTGCACTTGAGAAGAATATGTATATGGTTGTTGTTGGGTGGAGCATTCTGTATACATCTGTTAGGTCTAGTTGATATATAGTATTTTTCATGTCTTCTGTTTCATTGTTTATCTTTCTTATGGTTGTGCTACACGTTGTTAAAAGTGGGATGTTGACTTCAGCTATTTCCCATTCTAGTTTTTGCAGTTTTGGCTTCATATGTTTTGTTATATGTTGCTAGGTACATATATGTTTATACTCATTTATATCTTGACCTTTTAAATAGTATATAATATCCTTTTTTGTCTCTTCTAACGATTTTTTTTTGTCTTAACGTCTATTTGTCTGATATTAGTATACCCATTCCAGCTTTCTTTTGGTTACTGCTTACATGGAATATCTTTCTGTCCTTCCATTTTCAACCTATTTGTGTTTTTTTTTGTCTTAATGTCTATTTGTCTGATATTAGTATACCCATTCCAGCTTTCTTTTGGTTACTGCTTACATGGAATATCTTTCCGTCCTTCCATTTTCAACCTATTGTGTTTCAACCTATTTGTGTTTCTGTCCTTCCATTTTCAACCTATTTGTCTCTTGTAGACAGTATATAGTGGGTCATTAAAAAGAAAATCTATTCTTCCAATCTCTGCCTTTTAATTGTAGTGTTTAATTCATTTACACTTAATGTAATTACAGATGGAAGGACTTCTGCCACTTTTCGATTTGTTTTCTTACATCTTTTTTGTTCCTCAATTCCTCTGTTACTACCTTCTTTTGTGTTAGTTATTTCTCACATTTTGATTCCTTTCTCATTTCTTTTACTATATATCTTTTAGTTATTTTCTTAGTGGTTGCCCCAAGAATTACAATTAACATCTTAATTTATAACAGTGTAGTTCAAATTAATACCAACTTAGTTTTAATATTATACAAAACTTTTCTTCTGTATAGCTCTGTTCCCCCATTTTTATGTTGTTGTCATCACAAGTTACATCTTTATAATTGTGTGCCCATCAAGATAGGCTTATAATGATTGCTTCATTTATTTGCTGATTGGTTGATATTAAATGCTAAACCCACCTTACATTCTTAGAATAAATTCAGTCAATAACGATGTATTACTATTTTATCCTTATAACGTATTGCTGGTCATACTTGCTAATATTTTCCTAAGGATTTTTGTGTCTATATTCGTGAGGGATATTGGTCTATAATTGTGTTTCTGTGTGTGTGTGTGTGTGTGTGTGTGTGTGTGTGTGTGTGTGTGTATGTGTGAGAGATAAGTTTTGGTATCAGTAATGCTGGTCTTATGAATTGGAAATTGTTCCCTTACCCTCTGATTTATGAAGGAGTTTGTGTTAAATTGACGATATTTCTTAAATGTTTGATATAATTCAGTGAACCCATCTGGACCTAGACTTTTTTTGTGGAAAGATTTTCAATTACTTGTTCACTTAAAAAATAGAGTTATTCAGATATTGTTGTGGTTTTTTTTTTTTTTTTTACATCTTTATTGGAGTATAATTGCTTTACAATGGTGTGTTAGTTTCTGCTTTATAACAAAGTGAATCAGTTATACATATACATATGTTCCCATATCTCTTTCCTCTTGCGTCTCCCTCCCTCCCACCCTTCCTATCCCACCCCTCTAGGTGGTCACAAAGCACCGAGCTGATCTCCCTGTGCTATGCAGCTGCTTCCCACTAGCTATCTATTTTACGTTTGGTAGTGTATATAGGTCCATGCCACTCTCTCACTTTGTCACAGCTTACCCTTCCCCCTCCCCATATCCTCAAGTCCATTCTCTAGTAGGTCTGTGTCTTTATTCCTGTCTTGCCCCTAGGTTCTTCATGACATTTTTTTTTCTTAGATTCCATATATATGTGTTAGCATACGGTATTTGTCTTTCTCTTTCTGACTTACTTCACTCTGTATGACAGACTCTAGGTCCATCCACCTCACTACAAATAACTCAATTTCATTTCTTTTTATGGCTGAGTAATATTCCATTGTATATATGTGCCACATCTTCTTTATCCATTCATCTGGTGATGGACACTTAGGTTGTTTCCATCTCCTGGCTATTGTAAATAGAGCTGCAATGAACATTTTGGTACATGACTCTTTTGGAACTATGGTTTTCTCAGGGTATAGGCCCAGTAGTGGGATTGCTGGGTCATAGATATTGTTGTTTTATTGTTAATCAGTTTTGTCATGTTGTATTTTTTCAAAGATTCATCTAAGTTGTTAAATTTGTTGGCACAAAGTTGTTTATACTAGTCTCCTAATAACCTTTTAATGTGTGCAGCAATGTAACTTTTAGAAAATGCTTATACTAGCATTATAGCAAACATTTATACAGTGCTTATCACATACCTTTGACTTTACAAATATCAGCTCTTTTAATTCCCACAACAATTTGTGAGGTAGATAATATTACCATCTCCATGTTATAGATGAAGAAACCAAAGTTAAACTAAAAGAAGTTAGGTGCCTTGTTCCAGATTACAGAGCTGGTGTATTAAGGGCTTAAGCTGTAATCCAGGTGGTCTGGGTCCAGAGTCCTTTTTTCTTAACTACTATTTACTTTGCCTTTCTGAAACACCAGATAGCTGTTCTGTTCTTCCTATGGAATTGTGCTGTGTTCTCTCTAGAAACCATCCTTGCTGCCACCACCTTTACACCACTGAGGGGAAATACTTGTTTCTGGTATTCCTAATTAAAACTTGGAATGCCTTTTCCTCCATAAAAACGTTACATATGATGGCTAGGCATACTTGAAATATTGTTGTTAATACTCTTCTTCAGCCACATAATATGTTAAAAAGACTTCTGGGGTTTCACTGGGAAGTTCACCAAAAGTTATAATGTGAAACATTGTTTCTGTGGGAAAATGTTAGAAGAAATTTATTTTAAATTCACTTGCCTATAAGGTTAAACTTCAATTATATGAAAGTGTTTCTTAACTTTTTTCTAATTTCTTAATGATTTGAATTTACTGAGTTGTTATTGAATCATAATTTTAAAAATACAAACATCACGATTAATTTGGACATATTTTGTTTTACTTTGATTAATTTGTTAATTAATGTCTTTTAGGGTTGTTCAGATGCTCAGAAGAGTATTCTTCTTCAGGTGGATCAGAACTGTGTTCGCAATTCTTATGATGTCTTCTCTTTGCTGCGGTAAGAAACTTCTTAGAGTCCTCTTGCATTTTGTCAAGAATCTTCCTCATTCTGAGTTTGTGACATTTCGATGTGAGGAAATGTATGGAATCTTTAGAAGCTGTTACTCAGACTTAGCATTTTTTAGTGAGAGCTTCATAAATTTTGTAGCTACAGTGATTTATCTCTTTTACAAAGCCTTTGGAAAGCCATTTTTTTCCTCTGGACAGTGGGAGAGAGTGATTGGAAGCCAGTGATCTTAAAACAGGGACATGAGCTGTTTCCGGTCTTCTGCACAATAAAGAGCAGCAACCAGAGGTACAAAATTTAGACTTATCAAAACTTTAACAACTGTGGCATTACTAGAAAACTCCTTCAATAGCCCCAGACATAGCTTAGAGTTTTGATCTGCTGTTCATCTTAAAAGAATCATATTTGGCAAGGCAAAGGAGCTCTGTGTGAATCTCATGTGCTTAGAGGTTTAACTGCCTCAGCTCTATATTTTCATAATGTCTGGGCTTAATTTGGAAAGATTTTTAAATTTGGTTTTAATTTTCAATGTGGTAGATCATCAAGGACGTTTCCCCAGGAGGCAGGCTACCAAAATAAACGCAATTTAAAATAAAGTTAAGAGTGACACTCAACCTGTGTTTACCCTACTCAGACAGATGATTCATTGAAATTCGATTTTGGCAGTATTTCCTAGTGTTTACATAACACATCATAAATTCCAGACCATTAGACATTCTCTATATATCTACTAGAGGAAGAGTCCAGAAGGATGATTGGACTCTTATCCAACTGGATGATTGTTTATTTTTTAAACATTATGAAATGGGCTTTTCCTTTGCAAATCTTGAATCTTACTGTACATAATGGTAGAGAGTTTGCTGACATGGACTATGTAAAATGCTCTAAAGAGACAATGATTTCAACTAAAGTAACCACACACATTTGATGACTTTTGACTCTTACCTGAGAGGTACTTTCACTTTGACTTCTTAGGATATGTGCCAGAATGGACAGAATTTAGTAATTGGATGGTGGAGATAGAAAGCAGGAGGTGTCTATTATATAACTCTTATTTTTGAGCCTATTCAGTTTGGGACTACATTGAGTTTTAAGTATTGAAAAAGAGGAATGTGCAGAAATAGTTTGAAATGTGAGGAAGAGACTAATATTTCTTGGTCTGTTTTGCTCAGTAAAATGAGAGTATAGATAATATAATTTTTAAAGATATTTTCCAAGTATGAGATTGTGTGATCTCATTAGAGAAAACAGTGGAATTAAAAGAAAAGGGGGGATTCCCTGGTGGCGCAGTGGTTGAGAGTCCACCTGCCGTTACAGGGGACACAGGTTCGTGCCCCAGTCTGGGAAGATCCCACATGCCGCAGAGCGGCTGGGCCCGTGAGCCATGGCCGCTGAGCCTGCGCATCCGGAGTCTGTGCTCCGCAACGGGAGAGGCCACAACAGTGAGAGGCCCGTGTACCGCAAAAAAAAAAAGAAAAGGGAATACAGAGTCAGTGAGAAGAGGAGGAGTTAGGAAAGGTAGCATCATAGAATCTGAGAGATTAGAGATTTAAGGAGTATTGAAGGCTCTGTACTGTAGTGATACAGGAGAATAGGAGCTGAAGAAAGACTGTAGGATCTTGGGTATCAACTTGATATAATGGAGAATGCTTTGATTGACCTGACTCTGACTTTAATTATCCTTGATTTATCCTAATTCATTTAACCTCTCTAATTGTTCCAAAATGTGGAAGCAGTGATGTTTCAAATTTGTTTAATTTATAAGCATTTTCACATCAGTTATCTTATTCTCCTAGAAGTTTTTTGTGTTCACAAATCAGGGATCAGCTTTTGTCTTCCATGTAGAAGCTGAGGCCAAGGAGCATTAAATGATTTACTTATCTTAGGGGGTGCATAGCAAGTAGAGCCAGATTGGAGATTGGTATGAAGGTTTTCTGACAAGCAAATTTTGCAAACCCTTTTCACACTCTCACTTACCTTCCTAGACTGGTGGTTGTTAGGGGCACATAGCATAATGATGGAGAAAATTTCTGAAGATCGTGGAACCCTCCATAAATGCAAAATCATCTAGTTAGTTTGGTAGTGGCTTAATTATTTAACCCTGGTTTTGCAATGAAATGTCTCTTGGGGGTTTCACTTCTAGTGTGCTTTCTAGATTCCTCAGGTGTGTCAGCCGTTTGAATTGCCTTATTAACAGTGGCCTGCTTATCACCATCGTGTAAATCATTTATAGCTGGTAACACAGATATACTTTTTCTGAACCAGACCAAGTGTCTATTTTTCAAGTAAATTACCTGAACTCAGAGAGTTACTCTGGAGCTAGAAACTTTAAATTGTACTTGTCAAAGTTAATGAGTAAAATGGAACTTTCTCTGGTGATTCAGGCAGTTCAGAGTAACTGTCATGTATCTGCTCAAGCAAAAATTTTCTTTTCCCACAGTTTTTGCCATGATATATATAAAGTGATTGCCGAGAAACTTAATTTTGTGCCGATCAATTTTGTTTATAGTTTCCCATCCTTAACTCAGGCAACATTGTTCCTGGATGCAGTAATTTTAAAAAATACACCTTTTCCTTTCCTGATGATTTCTTGTTTTTTTAATTTAATTTATTTTATTTTATTTTACTTTTTCATAAATTTATTGATTTATATATATATATATATACTTTTATTTTTGTCTGTGTTGGGTCTTCGTTGCTGCATGCAAGCTTTCTCTAGTTGCAGCAGGCGGGGGCTACTCTTTGTTGTGGTGCGTGGGCTTCTCATTGTGGTAGCTTGTCTTGTTGAGGAGCACAGGCTCTAGGTGCGCGGGCTTAAGTAGTTGTGGCTCGTGGGCTCTAGAGCGCAGGCTCAGTAGTTGTGGCACACGGGCTTAGTTGCTCTGTGGCATGTGGGATCTTTCTGGACCAGGGCTCGAACCCGTGTCCCCTGCATTGGCAGGCAGATTCTTAACCACTGCACCACCAGGGAAGTCCTAAATTGTTACTTCTTGATCTGTAATTTTATATGAAAACACACAGAGTCTGAATTCTTTAATATTACTTACTCCACAGAATTCTCAGTGCTGTTTGGAGGCAGGATTAGAACCCAGGTCTCCTGTTAATAACTCTTCCTGTGTTTTCGTGCCACTAGTATCTCTACCCTCAACCTTTTATGTGTAAATGTCACACAAAAAATAGGAAATTTTGACTAAGTAAAGGCTGTTTTTGGAGCACCTAAGACCCTGGCATTATAGCCCCTTCAGATGGATGCATTGTACCATTTTGTAGGAAAACAATGACCTGAGGTTTTATTCTTTTGCCAATAGTTAGGAATTTAGACTAATTCCAGTGTTGCCAAAGTAAGAGCAGCTCTTTCAAAGTTTACATTCAGTATGTGTGATGGTGACTGAATTTTTGCTTCTTAACCCTTGTAAATCTCTGGATTAAGCATTATTTTTCATGTAAGCAGACATTTACTTAGGAGACACTTCACTCATTGTCACATTTGATACTTTAGGATGTTCACCACAAGGTGTCAATGTTGCTGTTTAACTGGCATTTGAAATTTCATTTATTTTACAGTTTTGAAATGAGAAACGTAGGGTTATGAATCATAAGTGAGCCTTTAATTTAGAAGTTAGCTTTTCTTCTCTTTATTGTTATTCTTTCTAGGTTAAGGAGTTTCTAGACTTTCTAAACAGGTTTCTCTTTTTTGGGTCTGTTTTTTTTTTTTTTTTTTTTAAATTGTGTTCGTGAGAGGGAGTTTTTGAAAGATTATAAAGAGAGGAGGAGTGACAGGCTCAGGTGTGTGATTTTGAATTCTATCCATGGTGACAGTGTGGAAGAGACCTGAGGGACGAGACTGGAAGCAAGGAGATACCTGTAAATCCTACCTGTCCTCTGGAATTGAAAGATTATGTTTAGTGTTTAAAAATTTTTTGTTGTTTTGTTTTTGTTTTTTCCTTTCATACTTTCTCAAAAAGGTAGCTCTATGGTAGTGAAATAAGTGAGACTAATTCTGTTTTCTTTGAGTATACTTTTTCTTTTTTTTTTTTGCGGTACGCGGGCCTCTCACTGTTGTGGCCTCTCCCGTTGCGGACCACAGGCTCTGGATGCGCAGGCCCAGCGGCCATGGCTTACGGGCCCAGCCGTTCGGCGGCATGTGGGATCTTCCCGGACCGGGGCACGAGCCCGCGTCCCCTGCATCGGCAGGCGGACTCTCAACCACTGTGAGACCAGGGAAGCCCCTGAGTATACTTTTTATTCTTTTTTTTTTTCTTCCCTCTTTTTTGACATGTCCTACTTTTGCCAGTTTAATAAGTGGAGATATGGTGGAGAAACCATGGGCTTTGGCCCTCCATCCAGGTTCCAGTCCTAAACTGCCGTATGCCCATCACTGGGTGCAGAACTATGGGCAAGTTACTTAACTTTGGTATACCTCAGACTGCTCTTGTAAAATGGGGGTAATATTTGTCTCATAGGAATTATTATGAGAATTAATAAGGTAAAGTAATTGAAAGATTGTAGGACAGTTACTGACACATAGTAGACATTCAATAAATAATAGTTTTCATTTTCCCCTTTACTTCTTCCATCTTGGAATTAGCTTTTTTCTCTATGCACGTGTTCCTTTTTTATATTACCACTAGGTTTTACAGTTTTAAGCATAATTTCCCTTTCCGTCTTGCCTGTCTAATGCCGGTACCTCTGTTTTTTAGAATTACTTTTGTTAATCCTATAACAATCATGATAAAAATTGTTTAACATGTGCATGTCTTGTCTTCCCTGATGGCATTGAAAACTACTTGAAGGAAGGGATTATTTCATATGGCTATATTTTCTCCTCTCTATATTACTGATAATTCTCAGTTATGTTGGAGTTACTGTGGATTCTGTTGTGATCCTCGAGCCCTAGGTCCTGTGGATCCTGCATTACTCTTTATCCCTAGGACTGTCTTTCATAACCACCATGTCCTCATATTAATAACTTTCAAATCTATGTCTCTAGT